AGAACTATAAGGAAGTAAACCAACTTAGGTTGTTCATAGCTGATCGGTTCAAACAAAGAAGGCTAATAGAGTACTCTCGTTAGGGATTAACGAGTTAAAAATTGAAAGGAGGGCAATATATATAATGGCCTAATTAACTTATGGGTAATGGGTGGTTCTATTCACATGCTTGGGATATCCCCTCACCCACCCCCCCCCCCTCCCCTTTTTTGGTGATGAGAAAAACCCGCAATCACTATTTAAGGTTGTGCACTGGGTAAATCCCGCATTGTGACCCTGATTGACAAAGAACTATAATGAAGTAAACTAACCTAAGTTGTTCATAGCTGATCGGTTCAAACCAAGAAGGCTAATAGAACGCTCTTGTTAGGGATTAACGAGTTAAAAATTGAAAGGAGGGCAATATAATGGCTTAATTAACTTAATTATGGGTAATGGGTGGTTGTATTCATATGCTTGGGATATGCCCCTCTCCCCCTCTCTCTCTCTTTCACCAATAATTGGTGGATTACAAGACTTAGTTTAATAAGGAATTGAAGGTTCAATGATGGGTTGATGAATCTAGTGGGGAGGCCATTCTTTACACGTCTAAAAAGAGAACAAGTTTTTAGTCATGGGTTGGGAAGCATTTTTGGGTGTCCCCATTTAATATCCAACCCATGTATATGTCTTCTTCACATCAAGCACTTCAAGTGGATTCCAACTCTTCCTTCAACAACATCTATCAATGCCAACAACAACTCTTTATTTTTTTCTTTCTTTCTTTTTCACCCCACCCCCCAATCCATCCCTATCGCAAAGTGGGTTTCCCTTTCACCACCTAACACTATAAACATTAAAGATTTAAAGTGAAAGATATCTTTTAATTAGCTAGGTGTTTATATTGTGGTTGTGTAAGAACAAATATGTTGTTATAATAGATTGAACTTTTTCTTTTCAGTTAGGTTCTAGTTTTTTTACTTATTTTATTTATGTGCTAGGTTAGTTTATAGTTCAGATGTAGTTTTTTACTATTTTATTTATGTGCTAGGTTAGTTTATAGTTCAGATGTTGAGCCGATTGTTTCCGTTCACATATTTTCTTCCTGAACTTGATCTTTTGTGTTTAAATATCCTCTTAGTGCTCTTTCTAAATATATTGGATTTTTAATGGATTAATATACTGAGTATTATAGCCACAACTTGAGTTTATTTAATTATTATTATTTATTATATATAAAGAAATTAAAATACCACTTGTCAAAATTCCCTTTTTGATTTATAGAAAAGACTGCAAATCTGCAATTACTATGTCTTCTGGATGAAGCCGCCTTATGACCTAGTCGACAAAGGACTATAAGTAGGTAAACCCAACCCATGTACTTAAAATTTTATGCTTATCAAGTTAAGTGTCTGATCAACTTGGATCTGGTTATCCCTGTATATGCAGAGGTTAATAAGATTTACTCTTAATTGTATTTCCTACTTCTGATTTAATAATACATGATCTTTAATTACTTTTCATCTAACTGGTTAAAAATACTGAACACTTGACAAGTGCATTACTCTTATAAAGATATACATAGCATTATTGCGTGTTAAAGCTAGCAAGCATGCTTCATGTTTTGATGTTCTTTATGCGAGTGAAGATGGGAGATATAAAAAGAATTGGCAGGATTTGATAAAAACGTTGGGATACATAAACAAACAATATAATGCACATTAAAATTGTTGTAGTTTATAAAGCAGAAATGAACAAGTGTCACGAGAATCCATTAAGAAACAACTTAAAGATTCCTCGAGTCTTTTGAGGTGGGCTCTGGGAAATCCAAGTGCCCAATGGTTGTAGATCTGTTCTTCTACCTGTTTACAAGCAATGGCCTCGTTCCACCCATTATGGGTCCAATAATATTCAATTTAATTACTTTAATTTAACCTTAATTACCCTTCCCAAGATCTCTTCTTTCCATTATTTTATGGCTTTCTAGGATCATTCATCTCCTGCATCTTCCAATCAAATTTTGCTTCTCCTTATACCCCTGTCAGTATGCATGCCACTCTATGTGTTACTTCCCCAAATAATGTTCTCATCTCTCCATCTTTTTCTTTTTCCCCCATTTTTAAATTTAATTAACTATCATTTTCTGACACAAATTTTAAGATTAGTCTCCAGATGGTACTGGGGAATAAAGCTAAAACTAGAGTATTAATGAGTACCAGGTACTATTATTGCCTGTAAGTTTATTAGATATTATTATATGTATATGTTTGTGTGGAAGAGCTACCATTAAAGGTTGCACACTTTTCTCACTATGAATTATAATGATTCTTGCCTAGTGGACCCAATAATTGATCCTTAATTCATGTAGTAAATGTCAAATAATCCTTGGGTATGGAGAATTGGAGATATATTGATTGGTAGCACGTAAAAAAAAATATTATGTATTTAAAAAGTAAAAGTAAAAATATAGAAATAGAGTCAAGTAAATAATAATTTAGTATTTTATACATCTGAAACTGATGAGTCACATGGACTATACTAAAGTGACTTGTAAAATTCGCATGTGCATCACACATGTAATTAGGCAATTATTTGTTCGAATTCAAGCAAGGATAATATCATAAAACATAATCGATCCAACTCATTTCGTCAATTACACTATATAATATTCGTTGTTATAATTTATATTTGTATGTCGATCTAAATATTCTTAAAATATTATAACAAATCCATTCCGTGCAACACACAGGTGAAAATACTAGTTATAATAAAGCAAAAATAATTAAATGCTATTCGAGCAAATTCATCCTGCGAATCCTAAAATTAATAGTGGGAGTGTGTGCCCCAAAAGTGATGGTTAAGTGAATAGAGCTTGATTTCCATATATGAAGATCATGAGTTTGATTATAGTGACATAAAATTTTCTTAGTGCAATTGACCTTTTCTGTGTGATTTGTAATGACCGGAGATTTTCTTGCCATAAAAAAAAAAAAAAAAGTTGAAATGTGCATCCCATAAAAACATGATCGAATAACACCTGGAATGGGAGACATAGAGCAGGCCTTATTGGTTACTAACTTTTAATATGTCAGTTAATGATACTTATGGATAAACATCTAATGTATATTGGCATTAACGTTATATGTATACATCTAAAGTAATTTTCTATGTTTAAGCAGACCTGCTATCTTATGACTCTCAGGGTGTCTTTACAACTGTACATATGCTAGCTTGTTTCCATTATTGAAAGTTTAGCATAATGAAATTAAATACAAATTTCAATGAATCAAAGGATAAGTCAGGCTGCCCAAAGTACTCAGGTTTTGTGTTTTTGCTGGTGGACACATTCATGTTCATGATACTCCCTAATTTATTAGGGTTAAAATATAAGATCGAGATGCATATGATTTATATATAGTAAACAAATAAATTAAAATACATTTGTTTAAACAAAATAGGGTGACAGGTCATCTAGCTAGTTAAAATTGTGAGTCACAGTGAAAATGGTGGTCGGGAGGTGATTATCATTCAATGAGGGGATTAGTCATTGTGCTTGACGGTGGGAATTCAGTTACACAAAAAAAAAAAAAAAAAAAAAAAAAAAAAAAAAAAAAAAAAAACATAGATACAAATAATATACTAATCTAGTTAAGCATCATAAGGATAAGCATGGTGCATGTGATAATAGTCAAAATATTTGTAATTGCAATGAACATACATTTTAGTTGATATGAAGTATGAACAATAATGCTTGCTAGCCTATATATATAGTTGATTCCCTACATAGCTATATATACTTCCTGGGGAGGTAGGGAGGTGGGGAGGGGATACCTACACTTTTACCCATTCAAAGGATTCCTATATTGACTCTTTTGTCCAAGAAAAATATCATACTCCGTATCCCATTTAAACTTTTACTACTTTTAAATGATAGATGACCTGGTAACAAATTATATGATTGATTTAAACGAAAAAAAATTAAAGAAAGAAAGAAAGAAAAAAGAACTTTACATCAACTAATATTCTTCATATATGGTGATATTGGACGTGAATTTCACTAATGCGTCATTATACAATTCAATGGCCAACCAATTTCAAAAATATTTGACCTTTAATAGATTTTGAGTTAATTGGACAATACGTTGTCGGGCAGATTTTATTATTATTATTATTATTATTATTATTTTTAAAGGAAAAATAAAAAAATTTATTATAATAAGTGCTCAATACAAGGAGGAATCAAAGAAAACTAACACAATGGACCAGGTTGAGAACAAGTAGCTCTAGCAAGTGCATGGGCAGATTTTATTTTCTTTAATTTTGCACAAAAGCAAAATAAAATGGAATAAGGTTCAAATTGACCACTGAACGTAACATGAAAATGCAATTAGGCCATTGAACGAAAAAAAGGTGCAATTAGGCCACTGAACACTCCAAATGTATGCAATTTCACCGGATAACAGGTTACCTGCTTACGTGGCAGCTGAGTTGGCATTTTTAAATAATTTTTAATAATAAATTTTAATAATAACCTTAAAAAGAAGTTGAAAAAAATTAAATAAAAGAAACATAAACGGCAGCCACCCCGTCGTTTTATTGTGAGCATATATCCATTAATGTGTATCCAACTATCAGCTTAGGCTTTTAGTTGAGATGGAGCACATGCTTTAATTTGGTATCAGAGCCAAACCAAAGGTCATGAGTTCGAATCTCAACGCCACTCGTAAGCGACTACGGTCGGTCGTGTTGGTTGGAATCCACCATACACGTGAGGGTAAAATTATTTAAAATGCCAACTCCAACTTTAGGATATATAGCTCTTGCTCATACGGGTTTAACTCACTGGTTCAATATGCAGTATTTGAAAGAAGTGATCAAAGTTCGAACTTTAACAGTAACACTGTGAGAAGTATCGTCGAGTTGGAGATTCAACCTTTTTGGGAGAAGAAAAATGTATAACTCTTCCTCTAAAAAAAAAAAAGGAATATATAACTCTTACTTATATAAGAACAAGAAACATCTGTAACCTCCAAATGAAATTAAAGGTAATTACTCAACAGCTCTTGTTTAACACACATTTTGCCTTGGGCATATATTAATGCATGGATTTTTACAAATTCACATGCAAAGAAATGTACGTGCAAGATAGCACGTGCACAGCTCGAGACAACGATTAAAAAAAATACAAGAATAAAAATACATTTGCTTAACATTTTTGTACGCATGCAATTCAATAACTACAAAATCTTTTTTTTTTTTTTTTTTCTTCATCCCAATTGATAAGTACATACAGCTGCATAAAGTCACTATACAAGCTCTTCAACCTCTTCCACTGCAATAAAATTTCTCGGGTTAAAAGGTCAAATTCTTGTATTAGAACGTTAGGTGGTCCTCCCAGTTAATATTATTCTTTCTTTATTTACGAGAAGATCTTGCTTTCCACTCCACCAAACGTTTCAGAAAGTACATAACCTGCCACATAAAGAAATTATCCCACGAATCAATAACCAAATCAAAGGAATATTTATTCTTATTCCTAAAAAAAATGTTTTGTATTAATTTCAACTCACCTCTGATGGGTCCTTAAGAGAATACGAAGCATCCGTTTCTTTCGGAGCTTTGGAGACTAAGATTCCAAAACCCTGTCCTCTCTCACGCAAAACCTATAACATCAATCAATACAAATTATTCTCGTTAAGGAATTTTTTGAAATAACAATGATAATAATATTTTTGTAGTAATAAGGTATACTCGCAACCACTACATAAATTTGTGCAATGATAAACCCCTACTTAGGACTCTAGTCACGAAACCAAGAATCCTTATAGTATGATATAATAATATTTATTATATATTGTACTGATATAATACGTACTTTAAAAGCGTCTTCATCGGTCCGGTCATCGCCAATGTAAACCGGCAAAACATCATTAGAGTTTGCAAAACCTAATGCTTCCAACAAGAACTCCAACGCCTTGCCCTTGTCCCATTTAATGGTGGGACGAATCTCCAACACCTGTATTTTCATATAGTAAGATTGTTTGTTTGTTTCAATGTTTTTAAGGAATAAAAATGCTTGGAGTTCAATTAATTAATGTATATATATATTATATATGACAGTGAAATATATGACAAAGACAAGAATGTTAGTTGAACATATATAAATATAAAATTATTATTATTGTACCTTCCTCCCTTGAGATAGTCGAAGCTCAGGGTACTCCTTGATAACAGATTTCACCATCTCTCCCAGTTCATCCCATCTCTGATAGCAAAAAAAATAAAAATAATATGTGAACATTTAAAGAGCAAAAAAAAAAAAAAAAATCGGAGTAAAAGGTTAAAAATTGTACCTTTTCCTCGACGCAACGATAATGCACAGACAAGCAAAACTTGTTGTTTTCTACTTTGGCTCCAGGAACGGATTTGGTTTTTTCCAGTAATACTTTATATACCTGAAAGTGAGAAATTATACATTCAAGTTAAAAAAAAATAAAATAAAAAAATTACTCCATAGTACATTTACCATATACTGAATACAAGTACATAATCCACTAGAGAGGAGAAAACCAACCTCTTCAATCATGGGTAAAAATTCTCTGGCAGGTTGGCAGAGAACAGCTTGATTGCCCTGCATAATTTTCACCAAAAATATACGGAGTAATCGTTAGTAAAAAAATCCCAGAATATTTTTACTGTTACAGTGAATTTTCTTCTATAATTTTCACCTTTAGATTGCCTTTAGTTGGTCCCTTGATGTCCATTCCATGGCTTCCGGCGTAATACAGTTGAGACAGTTTCACAAAGTTGTATACCTGAAATTTATGTTCAAGATCAGAATATTAATCAAACAATCATTAAAAACCTGAAAATAATAGAAATTTTTTTAAGAGAAAAAATAAAATACCTTTGCCCTGCACCTTCCACTCACTATGGCTGTAGGGAAATGTTTTGCTACGTTCCTCACAGCATCTCTCATCTATATTCCAGAAAGAAAAAAAAATGAGTTTATTGAAATATATTAGAAATAGAAAAAAAAAAAAAAAAAAAAAAAAAAAAAAAAAAAGGTGGAGGTGGGGGGAATGTTGAACCAACCTCGGTGGTCATGAAAGCTTTGTCGGGGTCTTCAACAATGGGGGAAAGAGTGCCATCATAATCAAGAAACATGACAATCTTCTTCCCTTTGGAGAAATTCATTATATCATCAAACATGCTTATAGCAGAGGGATGATTCAACTGTTCCATCCAAAAAAAATAAAAATAAAAATTAATCCTTAAGGTCTGCTAAAATTGCTAGGTGAGAAAGCTAGCTAGGGAGTATATATATATGAATTCCGAGATCAGACTCACCATCCAAGACTTGTTAACATCCTCAGATTCAAAGGATCTTCGAGTTGGTGAGGAATCCCTCATGGATTCGAACAATGCATTGATCCTGCCGGGACGGGGAATGGAAATAAAACTTCCCGCTCCGGCGGGCAGCGGCTTCGCCACCGCGTGCGGGAACAGCGCCGGCTCCGACACCGCCACCCTTATGAGGGCCACGCCGGATTTCGGGTCAGAAACCACCACATTCTGGTTAGTCATTTTTCTCGTCTTGGGTCTGCATGGAATATAATTATACAAAAATTAAACCACTAACTACATTAACATTAACAACACACAATTACTTCAATCCAATCCAATCCAAAGAACCAAAACACAGAAAAACACTCACAGCTAATTAAGAAACAGAGGACTCTGATGAAGAAGAAGAAGAAGGAGGAGAGACGGGAGAGAAGAAGAGAGAAGAGGAGAGAGTTATGGCTGAAATGAATGGGTGGGTTTGTACGTAGGAAGTGGTGAAAGGAGGAGAGGAATTTATAGAAGGGAAAAAGCTAAGGAGAGTGAAAAAGAAAATGAAAAAAAAAAAGTAGAGAGAAGAAACAAATTAAAGCACTCAGACTCAGTTATTACAACTTACAACTCACAAAGAGAAAAAGAAGGGTCGTGTAGTCAATTTAGCAGTGAGTTCGAGTCTTTAATTTGATGGAAGCACTAAGAGACGAAGCATCCTATCGATTCCGCCTCTTCCTGTACCTTTCTGCCCTCTCTCTCTCCACACTCACTCATACCTTTACTGTATTATATTTATGTGTAGTACATTTTTGGATTCTTCCCCAAACCCCACATTGTGTATAAGTTACCCCCATTATAAAGTAAACCCGATCAGACTTCGAATCTTACACCTTACACCTATAAATGCATATATGAGTCGAATTCGTATAACTTTTAAGTAATTATTATCATCTTTTTATCAAAAAATACTCATAAAGGAGCTGAGCGAGATAACTTATATTTTATATCTTTGCAGCTTTATAAGCTGCTGATTAAGAAAAGACTTACACCTTACGCTTGTAAACGCTAAATCGGATTAAATTCGTAAACTTGAAGTAACAAGTCATCATAAAAGAGATATCTTATTTTATATCTTTCCACCTTTATAAGCTGATCGAGAGAAAACTTATACCTTATACTTGTAAATGCAAAATTTGAATTAAATTCATACAAACAAGTCATTTTTTTGATTGAAATGACCATAAAGGAGATAGCTTAGATTATATGTTTGCAGTTTTATAAGCTAAAAAAAGACTTGCACCTTAATCTTGTAAGTGTAGAAAAGGAGATTAAATTCGTACAACTTTTAAGTAACAAGTCATCTTTACTTGAAATAGAAAGGAGATGGCTTATTTGATACCTTTCCAACTTTATGAGGTGAAAAAAGACTTGCACCTTACACTCATAAGTGCAATAACTGAATTCCTACAACTTTAATTAACAAGTCATTTTTTTTATTTATTGAAATAATAAGAAATTAGATATCTTATTTGATATCTTTCCAACTTTATGAGTTGAAAAAAAAAAACAAAAAAAAAAAACTTATACCTTACACTCATAAATACAAAAGTTGAATTCATACAACTTCAAGTAAACACATTTTTATTGAAATAATCAGGGAGATAACTTATTTAATATCTTCCCAACTTTATGAATTGAAGAGCTAAATTCGTACAACTTTAAGTCACGAGTCTTTTTCTATTGAAATAACAAAAAAGGAGATAATTTATTTGATATCTTTTCAGTTGAAAAAAAGAGAGTGGGAGTTAAAGGAGATCCATTCATATATAAATCCCCCATAAAGTACTTAGATTATACCTAATTAGCAACCTTCAACTTGTTAATGGTTATATATTGAGGATAATTGTCAAAATTCTTATAAATTACTCCGTATAATTTAATGTCAACAACTTAAGGCTAGTCACTTTTGTATTTGTGCAATTGTGGCACGTTCTAGAACTAAGTTGTGCTGTAAACAAGTTGTGACAAATTTTAAAGTATTTGATTTTAATTAAATTCCATTACTTTAAGTAAAGTTGAAAACAATGTTAAATTATTACTATGTAAAAGAAAAGTAAAAGTTTTGATTTATAGATCATAAAGATTAAAGGATCGGAGTTGTCTATTGACCTTCTTGGTTTGAGTTAATTTGCTATTGACAACCTATATTAATTTACTTCATTGTTGTCTCTTGTTGGCTAACGTTATAATGTAGGGCTTCACCCAAAGCAAACATTCGGATAATAGGATTGAGATTTCTCGTAAATCAAAAGTTGTAGCCGGCCATGTTGTTGAAGGATGAGTCTTTTATATGTTACTTATCTAAATTTTTTGAAAACTAACTGGTAATTTATATCATTTTAAATTAATAAAAGCAACAAAAATATGTTGAGTGTGTGAATTGTTAATTGTTAATATATATGTAAAAATCTAAGTGGTCCAAACTTACACATACTTCAACACATAATATACACAATTAACACATGTAAACCATAAGCGTGGTCCAAATACGTGTTGAACACCACTAGATATAAAATAAAAAGTTAAGAAAAATACGATCAGTCCAAACACATTGAAAATTATAGAATATATTCTAATAATGAAGAGAAGTGTGAATTAAGTCTCAAATAATACAACAAGTTTACAACACACGTCTTCACGAGTAAAATGAAAAATCAAACTCTAGCTAGAACAACAGTGCGAATAATGTTAGCATATATATGATGTGATTTAGAAATAAAAGTTGGTTGATATGGATATATAGAAATGGATGATATAATTAGCATTGTGAGTTAATGGTGCATTGAATATGCTGCAATTTCAATTTTCAACCCCTATGATAGGTTAAAGCAAGCACATAGTAGTATGTATGGTACAGCCTAAAGGTTCTTTTCTCTCTTTTATCAAATTTTTGTGTTTTTTTTTTTTATTCTTCAATTTTACTGGAGCTTTTGTACAATGATTGTTAGACAACTGAAAAGAAGAAGTATAGTGTTGTGTAACTTTGGATCAGTCACTTCGTATTCAAAATTTTCAGCGCATGAAGGCACCACTATTGTCAATGTCCTACTTTCTAGAGGTCCTACAATTGCCCATCCCATCATACCATTATATATATATATATATATGGTAACCAACTAAGGAACTAATTACTCCTTTGATTACTACCTAATTATGTCAATTTCCTATTCCCTTTAATCATGCTTAATTCAAAATGTAGTCTTTGTCATTTTCTTAGTTTTTAATTTAGGTGGAATAAGGTACACCTGGAATGAAATTAGACTCTGATCTTGAACGTTAGGTATATCATTTCAACATATAAGTGAGCGACGAGAATAAGGTAATAAGGGTGAAGATATACTACAACCCTCCTTTTGAATTGCACAAAATTGTTGAAAGAAGGCAGAAAAATAGAAGTATTATTATAATCTACACACTATTTTACGCGAAATAAAATTAATAAATGTGTGTATTGTAAGAAAAGACAAACAAACTAAGTTAGTGGGAGAGAGTGAGTTTGTACTTTGCATACACCCCACCGCTTTAAACCATGGCTAGTTACCTCAATAATTGATGTTAGGTGTAATAAAAAAATTTTCTATGGGCAATTTTGATCTGCTTCTCCTGCTCTGGTTCTCCCACTGTATTCTAAAGCGGACATAATACCCTCTTAAGAGGTAGGGCGATCCAAGTCAAGAGTAGCATCTCTCCTATCTCTTAGCTCCTAGATAGACATTTCTTTATCATATAGAGAGAATGAAATCGGGGCGGTAACATTTCTTAAAGTATAATATCCATCTGTACCTAGTAAGTCATGTACTTATATTCATATATTTCTTTTCTTTGGCATTCTTGGAATTACTCTTTAAAATAAGATTCTCCCCTGTGAAATTTTTGAATAGGATTTCTTTGATAACAAATGTCAAATGGCGTCAATTGTCATATTTTTAAATTGTTAGTATTGGTTTGCTAAGCATCTGTCTAGCATTAGTTGTTGAAATGGACCCAGGAAAAAAAAAAAAAACTCAAGATCTAATACTGTATAATTTTTTTGGTAGTGATAAAAAAATTTGGTTTAATTAATATATAGTTGAATTTGTATACTCAGTATTAGATATTAACTCAATTATAATCCAAGTTTTATCCATCAAAGTAAAATTTTATTTATTCAATTAATTTTCAATATAAATGGGAAAATAAGTTCATTTAATTTAGACCCAAAAGAAGAAGAAGAAGAAATTCCGTCCAGTTTTCAAAAAACAAAAAAATGCAGTCCAAATTGTAACCACTGATTCAAATTTCAACAAAAAGTGTCGTACTAAGCTAGCTGTAGCATAATTCTCCCAACTACTTTTTATTGTCCTTTTTCTTCTTCTTACAAATTCATCTCTCTGCCCCCAAAAGCTTCTTGTTCATAAGCAAAAAAGAGGCTCGAAAGATCTTGAAATCATGATATATACGTTCATCTCTTCAATCATGGGTACGACCCAAAAAAAAAAAAAAAAAAAACAAAAAAAAAAAAATAAATCAAAACAATGAAATTTATATTGCTTCATCATAATAAAGAATCGTGGTGTAAATTTTAAAAATAATAAAATTATACTCTGTATTGTATAACCGTGTTAAATACACACATTATAATCAAACAATAGAAATTTTAATTCAAAAATTGTCACATAATGTTTCTAATTTATATTATAAGATCCATGGCAGAATTTGATTTGGACATACTAAACATTAAAAAAAAATGGAGAGGGGTGAGGGGAATTACATTTTTTCTCCTCTAGTTATACCCGTGATGCATACTTAATTCTTGAGTTATATGCGTGATCATTTTAACCCTTAAATTACGCATTGAGTGGCGATTTTAGTCCTTGAAGGACCAAATCAACCACTTTATTAAATGACAAATTGGTGGTAGAAATAATCCCTTAAGGGCTAAAATCATTACTTTGCATAACTTAAGGGTTAAAAGATGGCCCAGCTAATTTAGGGACTAAGTTTATACTACGGGTATATCTAAAGGACCAAAAATGCAATTTTCCTTTTTTAAAAAAAATGTACTCCATAATTCGTTAGTACAGTGCCATGCATAACATACAAGTTGTATCAGTTTCGACAGAGAATATTAAAATCTTCTCATCACCGGCCAAGAGAGAATTCATGCAATCTGGTCAAGTGATTTGGTTCAAACTATTCCATCTCCACCACCTTTTTTCTCTTTCTTGTTTCTCAAGATTTAATCAATCCTTCCTCTAACTTATATTATTGCACGTGAGTTTTATAAATATCTCCAAACAAAAAAAAATTATAAAAAAAAAAAAGGAAAAAAAATAAGTCTATATGATGTTCTAGATACATTCACAAAATTAAACATAAAACCTCCTGACCCGACCACCGGAAAAATTATGCATTCCGCCCCCTGAAACCTCCATCCAGTAAACAATCAACCTT